ACTAGAATTTTAACCTCCCATGATTTGAATACTATACCGCTATTAATAAAACCCAGAACTGTAAGACACTTTTACACTTCCATCACTACACTAGTGTCCTTGAGTTCAATTAACTTTCTAAGTCTATGTCACAGAAAATTCGAGTAAGCCAGATTTCCCTCACACTCATCTCATGGAATTGAATCCTTGAACCAGAAGATCAGAAGGTATACATATTCATGCTGTTATCCAACTAAATAAGTAAACATATCAAGCAGCACAGAAATGGAGACAAATGTTGAGTCACAAGACAGAGACTTTCTTCCACATTAGCATCACTTTGTTAGTTGGTAGAGAGGATAGCCACCTTGCCAGTTCTTATTTCTCCACTCTGTACCCAATGCAGTGAGATTTTCCCAAAAGTAACACACAGTTGTGGTGTGTCTGTTTATGGAGAGACTCACACCCAAGGAAACTCCTAGATGCTCTGCAAGTGTCCTATCGCCCCAAGCTTCTTGCTCACTTCCCTGCAGAGGTGGGCCGAGGGAAGCAAAGCCCAATTATGCCAGGAGGGGTGTCACCAAGGAGCGTTGCCTTGTGAATGACAAGGAGGTCACATGCCTAGTTCCCAGTGTCTCCAAAAGACAGCTCAATAACTGGAAGGATTTGTTCCCCACCCCCTGCCCGCCTTCTGTGAACCTATGTTGGGTTGTAGCAATCCGTATGATTTTCCTTTCAACCAGCAATTGAGAAAACCTTCCTAGAATTTGGATGCCCATGCCCAGCGGCCTGTTTTAGTGGGTTTATTCTTTAAATAGAAGCATCTTTTACATGGAGGCAAACTGGAAACTTCTCCTTCGCATCCTAGGCACTTCTCTTTCTATGCATGCTGTGTCGTGATCACGTTCACAGCCTTGGGCATTGTGGGACATGACCTTCCCAGCCTGGGCCCCAGGACTCACTGTCCTAGGAAGACTATGGCATCCCTTCTCAGCAGTTGGGCTTTGCTTCCTTTACTACACTATTGATCTGGTACTTTCCAGATTTGCCTGCGTTCAAATTCTGTCACTGCTGTTCCTTATCTCATTGTACACTATGGGCAAGTTTTTCATACGCCAAGAGGAATTCTTACTTCCCGGCCTTTTGAGGACACTAAATGAATCAGCACACATACGGCCCTGAGAATAACACCCTGCGTAGGTAAGCTCTCTGTGCAGGTTTATAAGTTTGTCACTGCTGTTATTCTTGCTGGGGAAAGTGGAGGCAAACGGGAAACTTCCAGGCTTGGCCTGCTGGCTCTGGTCTGCACTCATTACAACCTCTTTCCCACCAGCAGACTTTTGTTGTTTTTTTCTTCTTGCTATGAACGTGGATTTAAAAGCCTTTTTTGGCTGCCATTAGCGCTCTCTCTGTATGGTGTTCCTTTTTAATATTCGTCTTCAGACACAGGTCTTTCTCCCCTTCTTTTGTACCTTCCCTGTAAAGTTGTTACACCTGAGAGCCACTGCAGTCTGATGATGTCTTTGCTTTCTCAGGGACCATTCATTTTCTTTTTTTAAAAGATGTTTATTATATTTATGCATACAGAACTGGGGTACAGGCCAGAGGAGCAGGGGGGTGAGAAGATTCACCAGAGACAGAGTGGTAAACAGGCCCACTGATGAAATACACTGCTGAGAGGAGCAGCAGGCGGGTCCGGAGAGGTCAGCCATGCCATGTAGGTCACCTCCGGGGCGGGGATCAAATTCTCACTGAAGAGGCTAACTAAGGCTTTGCTTGCAGTACTCTGCTTTAACCCACTGTGCCACCAGGAACAGCCCAGACCATTCATTTTCTAATCACTCAGTTTTTTTCTCTGAGTTTCCTGTTTCTCCTCAGTCAAATGAACTGATAAGACATGAGATATGGAGTCTAGGCGTGGAGGGCAGAAGGCCAGGGTTCAAGTCCTCCCTCTTCCTGGTTTTGTGACCTTGGGAGAGCTGTACAGCCCTCTCTAGATATGACCAGGATAATTAAATGAGATACTGCTCATGAAGCAAGTGTCAAACACATAGGAGACTGCTAAACAGTGTGAATCTGGCTACAGATTTTTAACTTAGAATTTTGGAAATTTGCCTTGTGTATTTACCCTTCCTAGATGACAGTCTTATTCTCATCATCGCTCTTAATACTATGAGTGCCACCCAGAGTACTTTGTATTCCTTGAACACCTTCCTTGTGCCAGACAGTCTGGAACACTTTCCATGCTGAGCCTCTTACTCTCCTGACAGTCCTAAGAGGACTGTTATCTGCATGATTTTAATTCTAAGGTTTTCGGTTCCTCCATTTTATTTATGTTCAGAAGCCTGCTAGCTCCGAGCTGTCAATCATCATGTAATTCTCACCTTGGATGATCAGAAATGTAGCCCCAAGCCTTCCTGGCCTCCTGACCCCCACCCCAAGGAGTTTGCCTCTTTGGCAACCTCCTCACTCTTTCTCCATGGTGCCAGTACTCACTCTCTCACAAACTATATTTCCCTTCACCCTGGGCCTTCGCGAGCCTCAGAGGTAGTAGCTTTTCACCTTTACACTTTTTAAATCAAAGTCAAAACCATCTCATAAATTCACAAGAAGAAGTAGATTTATTTTTCTAAAGGTCAACCTCACACATTATCAGAGAAATGCAAATGAAAACAAGTTTGATTTTTCACCTATAAAATTGGCAAAGGTGAAACTCATCACCTATTCCCTAAGTGGACAAGGTGTGGTCAACATGGGTGCTTTCGTCTCCTGCCCCTAGCCAGAGGGTAGATAAATATATGCAAAGTGTGAACATGATAATTGACTCATTAAACCCTTAACTCAAAACTCCTCAGCAAATATGCTAAAGAGATGACTGAAGTCACACAGTACCTTTAATCCAAAGAAATCCATTCCTGCATGACTTCTGGTATGAAAAATGGAAACCCACGTACACACCCCACAGCAGAAGATGGGTTAAATAAACTATACCGCAGCCGAATGAAAGCACAGTTCCATTCCTGGAAACTAAGAGAGCTAGCATGTTGAGTGGAAGGAATTAAGAAACAAAGCAGAAGCACAAATAACATGGTAGCATGATTATAAATATTGTTTTGAACTGAAAGAAAACTGAGAGACCAAATGCTTCCGGTTAACTTTGGGTGGTGACGTTATAGGCATGTTTTATTCTCCCCTTTATCATTTTCTCTATTTTCTGAGTTTTTTCCAAAGACTATTTATTAATTTCATAATGATAATACTCAATATATTTAGGTTTAATTACATAGCTCACTGTCTGTGTGTATCCATCTGTGTATCCATCTTTTTTGAAAAGATTTATTTATTGAAGTATACAAGGGGTTAGAGGTGCAGGGGGTGAGAGGATTCGCCAGAGACAGAGTGGGGAGCAGAACAGGTAGATTGACTGAAGAACACTGCTGAGGGGAGCAGCGGGTGGGTCAGGAGAGGTCTGCTGTGCCATGTGGGTCACCTCCCTGGCCAGGGTTCAAACTTGTGGTACAGTGGCTGTGGATCACTACATAGTGCTGTGCTTTAACCATTGTGCCACCAGGGAGGACCCCGTGTATGTTAAATTCTAATGTGTCTCTCTTTACATCCTAAAAAATGAAATGACCACCAGATTAGTCAAGCTGCTGCCCAAGTAAGAGGATTTCCCTGCCTCCACCAGCTTTCATGTGAACCAGCCCCAAGCTCATATACTTCACTTGGTGAAAAAATACCTTTTTCATGAGTTCTTCTCCCCCACACCTTCCCAGTCAGATTCATTAGCTCAGGCTAGAGCTAGAAAGAAACTTGGGGATGAATCAGAGCCTTGACCTCTCATGCACCATGGACCTTTCACTGTCTGGTGAAGTCTTTTGAATCCCCTCTCAGAAAAATCATTTAAAATGTATAAAATGCAAAGGAGTTCAGAAGAAACCATGCATTCCTTGAGGAACAAGAAGATTCTAGGCTGTGACCCCCCTGTTTAACCAAACAAGCTTTGAGCTTTTTTGAGGCTGGCTAGAAGGGATCTCATCTCAGGGCACACGGTCTTGGCTTTCCCTCCCTTGGAATGGCAAATGCAATCCTACTGAAGATTTTTAGTCTTAAACCTCCCTTTCTACTTGGCCTGGGAAAGGATCCTTTGATCATCACAGTAAATTTACAAAGTCTACATCATGTTACCTATTCCAGATGAGGAGATTCAGACCCCAAGAGGTCAGTACAGGTGGGCAAAATGACCCCAACCTTAGTATTGAAGGCTCACGTGACCACCCTGGCTAGTCAGACCTCACCTAAGACTTCCCTAGGAACATTTGGGAACAAACGCCCTTCTTCCTCTAGGTGCGCTCTGAGGAAAAGATGCTGCATAGGGGGGAGGGCAACCCAGAAGAAAATGGAACTATAGATAGGGTAAGAAATTCTGAGGATGTACCATGGTGGGGAGGCCTTTGACCTAGCTGAGGCTGAGACTGGTTCCTGACTGTCCAATTGTGTGAACCTACCATTACCCTTTTTCTTTACTCAGCCTCTTTGTTGAGTTCAATTATAGCCAAGTGTCCAGAATGGATTGTGCCCATTTGGCTGTGCAGGAAATCTGAGGCAGGCCAGCTAGACAGGGGCAGGACCATGAACGGAGTTCAATCTTCCTGACCTTGACCGCTGAGCCACATTGCAAAATCAATCAGGTAGAGGCAGATTCAGTCCTCCCTGGAGGAGCAAAAGCATCTGACCAAGAGTTCTGTTCTTTGTTCTGATGTGTCCGCCACTGGGGCTCAAAACAGGAAGTTGGGGGCTCAAAGCCACAGGCCCCCCTATTTCAGCCTGGCCCCTGGAGGCTCGGAGTCTGTATATGTGAGGGTTCCGTCCATGGGAGTTGCTTTTTTGTGAACTTGTGGTTGCTGTTTTATTTCTCTTACCTTCACAGGCACCTCCCCAGACGTACCGCTCAAAGCCCTCCCATCACCTCCTCCCACCCCAGCCAGACTCTTCCCTGCCTGTGCGCAGCCCCAGCTCACCTGTAAATCAGTACCTCATCGTCGGAGCAGTTGTACTGCAGCTGGTACATCTTCACTCGCGGCGCTGACTTGCTGACCGACCACTTGACCAGGGCCGAGGTGGTGGTCACATCCGACACTAGCACGGCCCTTTCTGGGGTGCTTTTGGGAGGCTCCCCAGCCCCACTCCCTCCACCTCCTCGACTGGTCTTGCTGGAGCCAGTGATGTCTGAGAGGCGGGACTTGGGGGGCGCCGTGCGGCTGGTGCTGTTGCTGAGGTGTGGCAGCTGCACGATGGAGACCTCCACGGTGGCTGTGGCCTCCCCGGCGGCGTTGGCAGCGATGCAGGTGAAGGCCCCGCTGTCCTGAGATGTGGTGATGAGGATGTCCAGGGTGCCATTGTCATACACTGCGGTCCGTGAGGAGTTCCCCACCAGGCGGTCATCAGGGGCCACCCAGTGGATGAGGGGACTCGGGTCCCCGATGGCCTTGCACTTGAGCGTGGCCGCCTGGCCCTCCAGAACCAGCAGCTTGTGTGTGTGCTGAGTGATGAGCGGCGGCTCACACATAAACTCCTCCTCGCGCACGTGCCAGAAGTAGCGCCCCTTGAGGCCCCCGGGGGACCCACAGGTCTCCAGGTCATCGTCCCGCTCAAGCCTCCGCAGCCAGAGAAGCTCGCAATTACAGTGCAGTGGGTTCCCCCCAAAACTGAAGGACAGGGGTGGAGCGAAGGGTGTGGCGGTCAGAGCAGAGGCCTGGGAGCGGGCAAAGATGGGGTCTGGGGGCAGCTTCTGGAGCCGGTTGGAGGTGAGGTCAAGGCGGGCCAGCTTCTGCAGGTCGGCGAAGGTGCCCTCGGCAATGTGATCCAGCAGGTTGTGGTCCAGGCTCAGCTGGTGGAGGTTGACCATACGCCTAACGGAGCCCCAGGGCAGGCCATGGAGGTTATTGTAGGACAGGTCCAGGTCCTCCAGCGTCAGCAGGAAGTCCTCGAAGGCCTCATCGGCGATGCCGCCCAGCTGGTTGTTGTTCACAATGAGGTGCTGCAGGTTGACCAGGCCCCTCAGGGTGTCCTCCCCGAGGCTGGGCAGCCGGTTACTGTCCAGGTGCAGGGAACGCAGGCTCTCAAGGTCCAGAAAGGAGAAGGGCTGGATGTGGCTGATGGTGTTTCTGGACAGGGTCAGGTCCACCAGCCCTGTCATGTTGGCGAAGTCCTGGCGACCGATGTGGATGATGAAGTTGCCACCCAGGCGCAGCTCCACTGTCCTCCTGTCGATGTCCGGGGGCACGAAGAGCAGCCCCTTGGAGGGGCACAGGGTTCCCAGTGACTCAGACAGATTCTGGCAGACACAGTACTTGGGGCAGGCGTCAACCACGGCAAACGCCATGCCAAACGCCAGCAGACCACCAAGCAGGGTCTCCATGGTCTGGTCACTCAGGCCGCCGAGGTGCCTGGAAGGGAGGGACACAAGGTCAGGGTCAGGAGGTGACTTCCTAGCCCACTCACCCAGAGCCCCCTCCCTCACACTAACCACCTGCCTTGGGGAGCAGCAAAGAACGGCCACTGTCCTGCAAGGTGAAGTCTCTTCTCCCAAGCCCTCCAATACAATTCCACCTTTTAGTTCTTAGTTCTCATAACACATCAATTTACGTAGTGACTATATATGTGGAATATTTCCTCTCTTCCCCACTGGGATGTCAGCCCCACGAGGGCAGGTATGTTCACTCATTTTGTTAATTGTGTATCCCAACCATCAAGTTCAGTGTCTGGGACATAGTAGGTGCTCAAGAAATCTTTGTTGGATGGGTGGGTAATTCCTTTCCAGTGGCTCATCTCACAATCACTGCATTTAAAAAGTGCATTGTAGCTTTGTTTTCAAGTCGTTTTACTTAATTACTTTAAACTCAGCATGAAATTAAATGGGACCAGCATTTCTTAAGAAGTGGGGAGACAAAGAGAGAGCTGGTCCCAAGAGACACCAGGATTACCAAGAAACTGGCTTTGGATAAAATCTTCACTGTGGAGAATCCACCTATAGTTGAGTCTATGAGAGTTTAGGAAAGTGGAGAAATGAGTGGACTAGAGAGCCAAGGCACGGGCTGCTGAGCACTCAGTAATTGCTGGGTCTTCTGCCTGGAACTTCAAGATACCAAGTCATTAGGGCTTTGGGTATGTTTGGCTTCATTTCCTCCCTCAGATCTTTATTCGAAAGTCACCTGCTCACCAAGGTCCCAACAGATGGAGCAACTCCCTCTTCCCCAATCTGAGTGTGTCTCCTTGAAACTGATCACTCTCAAACTTGCTGTGTCATCTACTTGTCTTATTTACTGTGTGTTTCTGCATCAACAAAAGAGACCCAAGAGTAGGGACTTGTTACTCACCCTTCTATATGCAGAGCCCAAAGTTCTGCCTGGAACATAGTAGTTTTTGCATGAATGAATATCTAGGAAAGGAAGGAACAGACTTTGGCTCAGGTCTTGGAGTCTCCCCATCCTACGGTTTTCTCACTATTCTGTGTTGTCCTCGCAATAGCTCTGTTTATGTAGTGCTAACCCCTCCATTGAGTTGGACAAATCAGGCACACTGGCTGTACAGAACCACTCAGCCCAGGAGCTCTCAAATTGCCTTCTCAGAGCCCTAATTAGGTTCTGCAAGGAGGCTTCCAAGGCCAAAGACTTGGGGAATCGCTGCCTCCTCTTGCTTGCTCTTGCAAAAGCTCTACACACATTAACAAGTTCACAAGGTCCAGATATTCTGCTGCAGTAAAGAAACTGCATGAATGTTAAATATGCACTGCTCCCTTTTTTGGAAAAAAAAAAGGGGGGAAAAACTAAAGACTGCTAATATCTTGAGGAGGTAAGCTCTCTAGCCCCCAATTTAAAGAACACAACTGCAGAAAAGACAACTAGCTGATGAAATCACAATAGATAATACATTTCAAAACCCAAACCAGGGGCCTTGGTGGTGGTACAAGGGGTTAAGCACAGCACTATGAAGCTATTGGCAGCCACTGCAGCACAAGTTCAAACCCCAACCAGGAAGGTGACCCACATGGTGCAGCAGACCTCTCCCGACCTGCCCGCTGCTCCCCTCAGCAGTGGATTTCAGTAGATCTGCCTGCTCTGCTCCCCACTCTGTCTCTGGTGAATCCTCTCACCGCCCCCCACCTCTGGCCTGTACCCCAGTTCTGTATGCATAAATAAATAAAATCTTAAAAAATAATTAAAAACTAAAAACCCAAACCAATCACATAGTACTTATCCTTGAAGATTTGAATTCCCTTATTATGTTTATTTAAGGATAAATATCTTACCCTAAAAACCCTTGAGGGCCAGAAACTTACCCTATATTTCATTTAGAAACAGTGGTATTCCTGAGCACCACTATCCAATAGAAACATAAAATAGAAATTTACATGTGGCCATGTTAAAAATCATAAAAACATACAGGTGAGGTCAATTTTGATAATATATTCTATTTAATCCACTTTATAAAAATATGTTTCAACATGTAATTGACACCATTATTAATGAGAAGTTTAACTTTCTTTTATTTGTACTAAATCTTCAAATCTGGTGTGTATTTAACACTTTGAGTGCATTTCAAGTGCTCACTGGCCATATGTGGGTGTTAGCTACCATATTGGATGTGGCTGTTAGAGCAGGTGTTAGTTAACTATAGCCAGAGAGCCAAATCCAGCCTGCCACCTGTTTTTGTAAATAAAGTTTTATTAGGACACAGTCGTGCACATTTATTTACATACTGTCTGACTTTTTTTATGCTATAGTGGCAGAGGTGTGTAATTGCAGCAGAGACAACGTAGCCAGCATAATCTAAATTATTTACTGTCTTTCTTGTTGTTTACAGCAAAAACTTGCTGAACTTTGTTCTAAAGTTCTTTTTTTCCTTTTCATCTTTTTCATTGTGGTCACCATCATTAAACACTTCTGCCACATAGTTCTTCTTTGGGCTCCCCATGAGTCAGTCCCTGACCTCTTAGGTTGAAGGTAACTGGATTCCTCCCCTCCCCTGCCCCTCCTTCACCACCACCTCCCACCAAGAATGTCTACCTCAAAGGATTCTATATGTACCACTTTCTATCCACCACCATTTCCCTACTCCCATGTGTTCTGTTTTTGTAGGTCCATCCTTAGTTGAAAACTGATCAAATGAACAGGAATCTTCTCCATCTTCATTGACCCTCTTCTTTTTCAATATAAAAACAAGTCTTTGCAAGAGCTGGTCCTGCCACTACTCTAGTTTCCCTCTTTCCCTTCACCCCCTGTCCTCATGTCCCAGCCATACCTAGCCTCCCTCGCTCATAACTGCCATGCTTGATTGATCTTCCTCCCAGATCCCCACATTCTCTCATCCCTTCTAGTTTCTCCCCCACCCCTCCTCCTGCCTCGCCAGGCTCTTAATCAGTTCAACACTGCCTACTCAGGTAGTCCTATTAAGGGGAAGGATGTCCTAAAGGAACTAGGCAGAGTCTTGTAGACTTCACCCCCTACTCCAGCTTACTCCAGTGATTGGAAGCTACAACTCCCAGCAGTACCAGGGAGAGAACTGCGAGGACCCAAGGGCGGAGCTAGCAGGAATGCTGGGACATCTGGGGGATAAGTAGGGTGCGATTGCATCTCTCGCTCTCTCACTAGGGAAACTGCTCTCCTGACCACGTGACTCGGTGTGTTCAGTCAGCCTAGCCGTAAGGTATTCCAGTGACTTTGTATCCCACTCTCTTTCCCTGAGTTGTTTCCTATTCCTTTTCCCTTTTGTAAATAAACCCATTAATGACACTTTTGTGTGTACCTGCAGTATAACTGAATTGTGAGCATGCGAGTGAGGCCCCACAGACAGGCGGCCCAGTCCATTTTAGGCTTCCCTGTAACAATCCCTCTAAAACCTAGGTGAAATTAGGGCCACCACTCTTTGCCTTCCTAAGTGCAATTGCTCATTCACCTTTAATATAACTCCTTAGTTACATACGTGTCTGTCTTGTTCGACTATAAAATCTAACTCTAAAAGTCTTGTCCACCCATCATTCTCTCCCAGCACCACTTCTGACTCATCATAAGTGCCCAAGGAATACTAATTGGATGAATGAGCGCATGATGAAATATGGCCCAGAGCAAAGTCAGTGTCTGGCATTGACCCTGAGATTATGAATTCTGTACCAACACTGCCCAGGGTTCATTTGGCTAATCAGCTAAAAAGACCATCTTGATGCAGTGGCTTGCTCATAGCAGAAGCATCTTTTGGCAACCATCAACTGGGATTTCCAGCATGATCCATGTGGTACCGATTCCAGAGGATGGGGAGGGCACAGGGACCAATGGCACTGTTTGTTCGTTAAGCTGGCAGTGGCTATGTGAGTGCACGCACATGTGCCTCTATGTACGAGGTGGAGTGTTTTGAGAGCCGGTAGGCCCAGGAGAAATGTGTCTTCCTTATGGAAAACACTGCAGTGCCCCTCAGCTCAGTGGAACTTCCCCACATACTCCCATCATGCCACACAGGGAAAATGGTTCACCTGAGTCCAGGGCCAGCTTTGGTGGCTGTGCTGGCTGCCCTCGCCACCCTCCTTCCAGCCCTACTGTGTGTCCTTCAGTCAAGGCTGTCCTGCAGGGGCTGCCTTAGCTGGGGATGGACAGACTGCGCCAACCTAGGGCAACCTTGGCCCTTTCAGCCCTTGGCTCTGTCATCTGCCCCCTGGGAGACTGGGGTGGTGGCAGCAAGTGGGGAAGACTCATGCTCAGTGGGATACCCACCCTGAAGGGCCTGTTGTTTCCAACAGATTATGTTCCTGTGAATTTTGCTAAACAAACCACGTTTAAAAAAAAAAAAAAAGTAGTTTGTTGAGGATTAACAAACGTCTAATGAATTCAAATCTGTGACATAATAGAGCTGGGTAAATATATTTTAAGCAATCAGCATGGAAGATTACTGACAGAGAAGTGACTATTGAATCTTAATTAAAATTGTATTCTGAGAACTGTCACTTAATATATTACTCTAACAGCCAAACAAAAAGCCGCTTAAACCTCAAGTTTAAGCGAGGGGAGGCGAGGGGCTGGGTGGATCCATGTAATTACTGCACACACGGGTGAGGGGGGGCTCTCTGGTTTGAGCAGGGATTTGAAAAAATGTTGGGAGGAGCATCCTGGGTCCCTGTAAGCATCTCAGAATAGGGTGGGTATTGGAGGGGAGCAAGGAGAGGGGGCAATTAAGAGAAGAGGGCTAAGTTAGGAACAAAGAAACAGATGAAAGCAGGCAGGAGGGGCAGGGAGTTATTTGTGGGCAAAACTGAGAGAGGTGTGTGGGGATCAGGAGCGTGGCTGTGAAATGGATGCTGGTATCAAATGTCAGGATCAGCCTTCAGAGGAGGAATCCGTCTGCAAAGGAGCAAGAGCTTGTCTGCTCAGAATGTCTATGAGCAGGTCTGGGGTGGGGA